GATATTATATATTTATATAATATAAGTTATATAATTAATATAATATATTATTTATATATATTAATATTAGAGATGTTAAACTGGCTCGTCGTTTGCGAACAGCTCGTGTTCGACTCGTTCGTTAAGAAACGAACACGAACAGTGACTTTACAAATAATGTCAACAGAAGTTTATTTCAAACAAACTAAATTTCAAACGAACCAAACACAAACACAAGCTTTGTTCGTTCGTGTTCGGTTCGTTTACACCCCTAGTGGCAAGGCAACAGTGGTGGTGATCGCGGTAGAGGACAGTGGTGGCACTGGCAGTGAATGGCTGGCAGGGTGGTTTTCATTTTAAAAGTTAATGACAATAACGTAAGTTATTTTTAATATTTTTTAAAACAAGTTGATTTATTTTAAAAACAAAAATATTTGAAAAATACAAACAAAATATGCTTTAAAATAAATAAAATGATTACAAATAGGCACGTTAAAGATATCTGGGAACACTATTATTTTTTATCTTTTTTATATATTTTGATATGAAATAAAATATGCTTGGTAAGTTAAAAATCAGTTGTTTCTATTTATTTTTATAGTGATGACAACAATCTCAACAAGGTAACAATGGCTGATGAAGCGAAAATAATGGTTGTGAAAAGCTGCAGCGTTGGCCACAGCCGAAAATGATAGAAGTGGCGAAAGAAGACAACAATGGCAGAGGTACAGACAATGATTGTGGTAATGTTTACTTTTAAAAATAGTCAAAAGACCTAAAAGTCATTTTAAGTGTTTTTAAAAATAACTTGAATTGTTTTAAAAATGACAAAAAAGTGGAAATAGTTAAAACATATACTAATCGTATTTTTTCACAATAAAATAAAAAAAGTAACTGAAATAGGCCCTTAGTAAATGACTTCGAAGGAAAGGGTGATTTCATTAAAAAGAAAATATGTTGCCCATAAAACAATTAAATTTAATCAAATAAAAATCTGAACTATGGCTTACTTGCTTCAGTATATAGGCAATTAGGACTTCGCATCCATATTGAAAGGTAAAAAATACAAATATCAACATAATTGCATTATTACTCTTTCACAATAACGAAAAACACAAATCTTTTGCAGAAATTAGAAGGTTTTTCAGAAATAATTTCTTAGAAAGGACTAACAACATTCTCTTAATGGAATAAAGTAAGACATAAATTACAGCAGCGGGGATTTCTAGCTCCATTCTTCATTGAATCAAGTTTAAATTTTAAAAGTAATTCTACAGAAAACTAACGCAATTACCAAAAAGCCTTGTTGATCAGGAAATGCAGCCAGACATCTTGTTTGATACTTCAGAGGAGATACAATTCTCTTGAACTCTGTCTGTTTTAGCATCACAAGAGAAGGTTAGATTATCTTAATATTTAAATAGACCAGGCTATAAAAACAAATCAGCTAGAGACATTTGTTTTTCAATTATCCTGAAGCAAAATGGAATAATAAATTCTCCAAATTAAATTTATGCTAGAAAAAACACATGTAGAAAGTCAACAGAAATTTGTTAATGATCAGGACCTCATTATAGTATGTAAAGGGCAACATCTAAAACATAAGAGAATAAATTATGCAGCTTGCAGCATGAAACCGGTGTTTCAAGCTGACGGCATAATCTTAAAAAGCAATGGGGCATTTACATACATACCATACCACACAATTCCTATGTTTTTACATATCTAACACCTAAACTTTTTACATACAATACACTCTAATCTTTAATATCACATCAAAAATACCAAAACTACTAACTCGTAAGAAGTGAAGTGAAGAGGCTTTTTCATGCATAGGTTTATCACATTAAAATGTTATAAATGTAAATATCAAACTTTAGGTGTTAGATATGTAAATGCAAAGGAGTTGTGCGGTATGCAAGTAAATTTCCCAAAAAGCAATACAAACATACATACATACATACATATATATATATATAT